TTATTTGTACTTATCTCAAACGAGCGAAGTTAATTAAGTTCGCAATGCGTCGATTTACATATATATATATATATATATTACATACATATATATATATACATATATATTTAAACGAATAATCAAAATTGTAATCATGTAATAATAACTTATACAGGTTGATTCAAAAGTTCCTAAATGGTTCAAAAGTTCACAGATAATTTTATCAATTATTTTTTATTTAAACTTTTTAAGCTTTCACTTAGATTTGTAATTTTACAATCGAGTGTAAAAAAAAATTAGCCAAAAGAGTCTCGAATAAGAGTAATCGATATTTAAAAACATCTATGAACTTTTTAGAACAATTTAGAATCTTTTGATTTATCCTGTATAAATTAGAAAAAAAAAGATATCTATTCCCGTTAACGACGTCAGTTAAACTATTATACACATATATAACTACGAGGGAAAAACGATTCTGTTGGCTAAAAAAACGATGAAATTTTATTTCTTATTACCTTGAAATTTATTTGATAAGTTAAAATGATAAAATTAATATTTGATTAAACTTATAAATTCGTTATCAAAGAAAAAAAAAAAAAAAAAAAAAAAATATATATATATATATAGAACACATATCGCGCTAATGTCGCGGCAAAATTCAATGAATTGATTTCTTCCCAAATTCTCTCCATTTCGTGGATATGTTTATCAAATGTTTTGCTATTAGATATCTAATACACGTAGATCAACAAAAACGCAACAATAAATTCGCGTTACATTACGTTACACTGTTACGTATAAATAATAGAAATTGAATAATGATATATGTATATTGGGAGCTGGTCTCCAACAAGAAATAAATACACACAGCCATACATACACACACATTCCACGAATTGTTAAATATTCTCATTCGCGTTTAAACATCGTACGCGTATTTACATTATGTATACATATGAAATATATATATATGTATGTATACACATATATGCACAATACGAGAACAAGATGGAAGTGGTGATGAAAAACGAGTGGTGAGAACGACTTATAAGGGAAGAAAATATTTATAGTTAAGACTGAACGTCTACGAGAAATTTTTTTTCTCGCATTGACGACGACGATAAAAACAAATTAAAAAAACAAAAAACAAAAAAAAAAGCTAAAGAAAAAAGAAAAACAAGGAAGATTAAAAAAAAAAAAAAAGAAAAAAAAAGAAAACTTTTAAACGCACTTTGTAGCATGTATGTGCATTTCTTAAGGAAATTGATAATAACAATTATAATTACACCTTCCTCCCCCTTCTCACATAAAGATTATCAAAAGATCAATTTTATTCGTATGATCGATCGTTTTTGAAATTTTCTTACGTTTCTTGCTGATCTAGAATAAAATAATTAGTACCTGATTATTATATATATATATATAATACAGTGTGTGCCATAAGTTTCTAGATGGATCAATAGTTTGTAGGTAAATTTAAAAATTAATTATTCTTTTTCGAGACTCTTTAGAATAAATTTCTTTTCAGGTTGTAAAACTATAAGTCTAATTACAAGTCTGAAAAAAATCTGAAAAAAGAGTAATAGATTTTTAAAAATCACGTAAAAACTTATGGCCCACTTATGAACTTTTGGCCCACCCTGTAATTAACGCTATTGCTGCTGCTGCTGCTGCTGCTACTGTTCATGCTATTTTTCGTTGATATTTATAATCGTCGCGTTATATAATAAATCATAAAAATAACAAATAATACATATATAAACGTGAATTACAAGAAGCAGCTGTTTTTGATACGTAAACTTCAAGCTTTTTTTCTTCCTTTCTTTCTTTTTTTTTTTCTTTTTCTAATTAATATTATATTATATAATAATGTGGCGGTGTTTCGCTCGATTTACGCAGGATATGTCGAGAATATAATTTAGTAGGGTGAATTGTTGGAATGTTGCCAGTTTCTAATGGATACCAGATATGTTACGGGTTTTTCGATATTCACACATATTTATACCGTTGGAAGTCAATAATTACAATATACATGTATATGTATGTGTATATATATATATATATATATATATATATATATATATATATATAAACATACGTGATATTTTCTCATTAAATTTTAAATGCATTATTTGTATAATTAATAAGAGAAGTTGTTGCTTTAAATTCTCATAATAATCATATTTTAAAAATAATTCGTATATTGTAAATATTTTTTTTTCTTTTTTGATTATTAATTATTATTTTATATTGCACATAAAAATTGTTGAACATTATTGGGAAGTATGTAACACATACACATATCTGCTATTCTAATATTTTCTCCTTATCGTGGGTGTACGTTATCGTATAAAACAAATATTTTACGTAAACACACATATATACGTAAATTTTCCAGCAAAATAAATGAAGAAAAAGAAGAAGAAGAAAAAGAAGAAGAAGAAGAAGAAGAAGAAGAAGAAGAAGAAGAAGAAGAAGAAGAAGTGGAAAAACATTTTTCTATGTTTAATATTAAAATATAGTTATATAAGTGAGCAAGTGAGATATATGTTGAATTTAAATTTGTCTAATGCGTTATCATTGGCATAAAAATAATTCTATCATGTTTATAAAAAAATATATTGAACTTGTTTCGTTGAGAACGATATTAAAAAAAAAAAAAAGAAAAAGGAAAGAAAAGAGAAAAAAAAGAAGGAAAAAGAAATGTAACAGATATTTATATATAATGCAAATAAGAGATAAAGAAAAAAAAATATGGATTATCAATTTAATAAATAAATTATTAGAATGATGAATTCTATACGTTGTGATGAAAAATTAAATATATATAAATATATATATATATATACATAAATATATATATATAAAAAAAAAAAGAAATAAGCAAAACACAATTTCAACATCCATAATTAGTAATCAATTACATAAATAGTGAATCTGCTTATTTCATTATAATTTCAGCTCGCTTGATTCAATGAAAAAGATTCTAATTAACTCGAAACACATTAATCAACATTATAACTAAATACGCATTATGATCTCAAAAATCGTCTCTATCGAATCGTATATAAATAAATAAAAAGAAAAAATCTTCTCTAACTTGTACAATCACGACATAGATTTAGAAAATAAATAAATTTTCATCTTTAACAACATCGATAACTACGAAACGAAATCGATATAGCGTGCGATATATATATATATATATATATATATATATATATATATATACATATATACACATATATGTATATATCGTAGTTTGACGTAAATCGATTTAGAAACAATTCATTATTTCATAACCTTGTAAATAAAAGCTTGCAAGGTCTCCTGTTACGATACACGAAGCATTTTGTAAAGTTTTATAAATAGTTCTATGTAGTTACACAGCTGGACCAATAAAGTATATATATATATATGCATATATATACATATATGTATCTACCTGTACCCACATAGATACAGACATACATAATGACACATATCCGTCTATTTGTAATGTATATGACATCAATGCATATAATTAATAACGATCATAATTAATATATATCATTATTAATATCGATCAATATTATTCTTCTTCTTATGCAAGAACTAACGTCATTTCTAACCTAAACGTAGTGGTTGCGTCCTACGTAATAATAAATAAAAGTGCACATGCACATTTCTGCACTATTTCCTACCGTCCATTTTTTAATATCGTTTCAATTATTTTCAAATTATATTCGAACAAAAATAATCGAACATGCATATACTTGCCTGATTATATTCTTTCTTCATCTTTCTTTTTTTATTCGGTGTTCTTTTCTTCAAACAATTTTTCATATAATTTGTAACTATGTTTTTCTAGATCATTCACGATCCCGATCACCTACAAGGATAAACGATTGTCAAGATAAAAGATAATTATTCTAATTTAATACGATTTAATCAACACTACCATTTTGATGAATTAATTAGCACCGTATAAGGAAATAAATAAAAAAATTTTATGTTTTTATTAGAAAACAAATTCATTAACGATACGTCGCCATCTTTTTAATAATTTTCGAGCGACTCAAATTCGAGAATCTTTAATAACGATGTCTGAACATTTTTAATATTAAAAATATGATATTACGTTTCAACAATACTTACACAAGATAATATTTGTAAACAAGTAACTTAATACAACAAATATATATCAAAATATCACAAGAAATTATGTAGAAATAATAATGCGTATTATCTTTCGACTTTGCCGCTCGTACCACTTCCAACTAATCGTAGTTTCTATTGGAGAGCAGATGTCGCCACCTATATATTACCGTTGTTGATACTTTTCAATATTTGCCTTAGGAACAGATGAAGACGGAAGATAATTGGTCTACGACGGTGTGTATTTGCGAATCACGACTTCATCGACGTCTATGATTGGACGTTAAAAGTGACGTAATAATCACCGCGTTAAATCATTGGAAGAAATCAGATTATTACATCGTTCTAAATCATTTAATTGAACATAATAATTAAACGTGATCTATTCTAAAAAAAGACTTGCCTCAGGATCATAAACGAATGATTAAACATTTTTGACTTTTAACATTTTGTTTCGCTCTACGGAATCATAAAGAAATATTGAATTATATAATTATTTAATGCCAAACAACAGTCAAAGATACTTTTATTTAATTCGAGAAAAAATTAAATCGCAAAATAATGAACGAATAATTATCAATCATTCTTGGATTTTCAATGTATATTCGTTAATAAACGTTTCAATTCGTTACATCGTACCTCATTGATATTAATTAAATAATGCAATATTTTCACAACTGCAGCAATCAAAGATACTTTTATTTGATCTAAGAAAATAAAATTAAATCGTGAAATAATAATGTATGAAAATATAAGAAAATAATGTTGGATAAGGAATGTTATAATTGGCCGTTGCGTTATCCTCAAGCGCGACCGTCTACGATTCGTTAAGATCGCGACCAATCAGAGGTTAGTATAGGAGTAGTCGTCGCAACGCAGTGTGAAGTTCGCCAGTGATGGACGATGGGGGTGAGACGGTTGTGACGATCGAATTCTCACGTTTCTCGGTAGAAGTGAGATAGATAGGAATAGAAAGAGAGAGAAAGAGAGAGAGAGAGAGACTGTACAAGAGAAGTAGACTGTACGCCGGCGGTCTTCTGTAATCGGCGTGACGTTAATTTTGACGTGCGCGAGTGAGTGCGTGAATTCTTAGATTTCTTCGCGTCGTCGTCATTGTTGTGATCGTGATCGTCGTGATCGTGATTATCATCATTGTCGTTATCGAATCGTGCGTCTTCCGTAAGTCGCCGTTCCGTTTGATTCGAGCACCGCCACCTTCTTCAACCACCTCCAATCTGAATCAATCAGAACGTTCTTTCGATCCGAAACAGGCGGCGGCTCATTCGCGATTATCTTTCTTTCGTTCGTCCGTACGTACGTACGTACGTACATAGATTCGTTCATTCGTGATTTCATCCGATCTTCAATCTGTCTTTTCATGTTCCTTGTTTCTTCGAAATCATCAAGGAGGAACAATCACGTACACGCGTACGTAAGTAAGTGTCGTCAACGCAACGGAACGACGCTCTCGCGTGCCTTCAAGAAATAAATACCAACATAGATGTATCCTAACGTGTATATGTACATCTTCTTCGTATTCCTCGATTTTTCGTCTCCTGTTCAACGTTGATCCTGTAAAGAAAAAAGAAAAAAAAAACGAAAAAGAAAAAAAACAAAAAAAAAAAAACGTGGGTGCCAAGGACATTCGTCTCTTTCGGAAAATAAAGGTACATATATTATATATGCATATATACAATTTAATTTCTTTTATTAAACGTTTGTTCTGAGAAAATTCAAACCATGTGATTTATGTATAGACTGTCCTGTATTTACACGTATGCATACTCGTACTCTCTCTTTCTCTCTCTCTCTCTCTCTCTCTCTTTCTCTCCCTCTCTCTTTCTGTCTCTCTCTCTCTCTCTCTCTCTCTCTCTCTCTTTCTCTCCCTCTCTCTTTCTGTCTCTGTCTCTCTCTCTCTCTCTCTCTCTCTCTGCCTCGTGTACTTATGTTAGTTCCTTTTAGCACGTTACGTGTGTTAGTCTTAACGGTGACGCGGCGTAAAGAGATTTCAGGTACACACATACGATCATCGTCTTCTCAGAGGGAAGGTTACGAAAGCATCTCCTCGAACGCAACCTTGATTTCAATTCTATACGCGTATAGTTAGAAGAGTAGTTATATATATATATATTTTTTTTTTAGAATAATGAAAGGAATTATTATCAAGTGAAAATAAAGAAGATTAATGAACGTTCACCTGACGGTGGTTCTTCGTATGGAGAGAAAGAAAGAAGGGAAAAAGTTTCTTTTAGCGGTCGATGCGCTCGAATTATTCACAGGTTCGGTTTGATCCACTTAGAATTTATTTTATTCTAACTTTCTTAATGAATGAATTTCTTATCATTCATCATCTCCCGCGTAAAAAAGGAATAGTTAATTTTTAATCATCGTTATTGTATCATTATTATTATTCGTTATTATTATATTATTATTATTATTATTAATTATATAGTTTTTTTTGTTTTTATCAATTGCGGTTGTCAATTGGTATGTCGCGTATGGTGTTATCGAGATACCGTTCGATACAGTGATTCGTTATTCGTGACACGTCCCAAGTGTCGATCGTCGGATTCCAATCCGATTAGTATCATGTAAACGCGTCGAAAATTATCAATTCGTGTGATAAACCATACAATCTCAACGAGAATGGCATATAAATCATATTGATATGACTACTTTTTTGGAAATAACTTAAAAAGAATCATTTAAGTAGAAGTAATAGTTTTATAGAGAACACGTATAATTTATTTTCATCTTTAGACTTTTCATTGTTCATTTTATTGTTTTAAAAAAATATATACATGTATATTGTTCATAGCATTTAATTTTTTATAAATCAATTTTATTTGGCACATAGACAAAAATGATATAACGTTAAATTTATATATTATTTATATTATTCTAAGAGTATATATATATATATATATATTATAATGATATATATATATATATATATATATTGTATAGTATAAGTACATATATATATAATTGAAGCCATTAATCCTCTGTAATCTAATTTTGTATTGTCTACGCTAAGACAATATAATGTCAAAGTTATAATATTATATTAGTATTAGTATACTAAGTATAATCATAAAGTATAACTTGTACTTGGAAACTATGAGAAATAATTTGAAATATAAAATGATATCTAATTTTTTAGAGGGAGAATATAAAATGAAACTTTACAAATCATTATATATATATAAATTGATATTTGAAGTATGTGATTTCAAAGTTATATTGCATTATAGAGTATCAAACATTATTAATCTCTTTGAAATACCTTTATTACGTAATTAAAATTATGGTCAGTAATAATAAATGTTTATAAATTTACAGAGCAAACAAAAGGCCATAAAATTATCGAGATAATCCAGAATAATAAATGAAACGTGCGAAGTCCTGATGCTCCCGTTGAACAAAGTCATTAATGTTTCTTTTACATACAATACAGTAGTGTAGTTTGACGTTTGCATATCGGACGATTATGAGGCTTTTATCTTTTTCGAGTAATAATTTCTTTCTACTTATGAGAGATAGACATAAAGGAAAGAAATATGTCGAGACTCTATCGTTATGTTTTATATTTTCACTAAACAAAAGCAATTTTTATTTTCTTAAAGATAATCGTTTCCTGGCATTAAAATTATCATCATATTATTTTTCGAATTTCATCGTGCGAATGTAATAGATAAAGCTAACGTTGTATGACCGACTTTAGGGGTGCATCCACTTTTTATTTTCTTTCTTATATTTCATTTAATTTGTCTCACAATTTTTAGAGTTAATATTTTTAGTTGTTAATATAGGATTAACGAAAAGTTTCTGGCTGATCTTTAAATTCAATTAATCTTTTTCAAAGCTTTTTTTCAGGCTTAGTTTACTAAATTAGACTCTTAGTTTAGTAAATTAGACTCTTTACAATTCGAAAATAAATTTACCCAAAATTGTCGTAAAAAAGGAATAATTGATGTTTAAAATTATCAAAAGAAATTCCACCTAATCGATATAAAATATATAGAAGTGATATAATATAGGAGATTAAATTATCAATGTAAAAGAATCGATCGATTTATATCAAATTTATATTCGAATTCTAACGTCAGATAATAGAATTAAAAAAACAAAGATAAGCAGATCTATTGTAAATATGTAATGAAGGTACTTAACACATTGATAAGAATTAATACTACTTAATGCCACATAACATTGGAATCATACATTTTATATAAATAAACATATTTATATATATATATTTATATATTTATTTATTTAAAATCAAATAATAATTTATAATGAAAGAGTATGATTCAGAAAATAACGATTGCGCGACTTATTTGAATTCGATGCAATACAACGTTGATCCTTTTGAAATTCACATGCATATTATGAAGCTGCATTCGTTTTGGATCGAATTGCATTTCGCTTGTTAATAATCGAGAAATCTTTTCGAAAAATAGTAATAAACTTTTTTATTAGTAGATATTTCGAAACGGAAAGAAAGAGCGAGAGAGAGAGAGAGAGAGAGAGAGAGAGAGAGAGAGAGAGAGAGAGAGAGAGAGAGAGAGAGAGAGAGATTGAGGCAGATAGAAAATGAAAGAGAGAGAAAGAGAGAGAGAGAGAGAATTTCTTCTTCTGTTACAACTGCAATATTTCGCTGAGCTGGTTAAATCCTGTTATACAATATAAAGAAATAAAATGAAAGAACCAAAAAAAAGAAAGAAAGAAAGAAAAGATAAAAAGAAAAAGAAAAATGGCCAATAAGGAACTGAAAAAAGATAGGGAATGAAAGATAGTATTTCATCATCAGCGTTATAGCTCTGCTGATGGGAAGAAAAATTAGCCATGCATGACGTTTCGTTATGCTATTAAACTCCATACAGTCCATTCCATTTCTATATTATTCGTATTTTCAAATATTTTTACTAACAATAAAACTCATCAATTTTTTTTAATTTGTTTTCTTTGTTTCTTTTTTTTTTTTTTTTTTTTTTTTTTTTTACAGTAAAACGTATACGACCTATAACTTTTCTATTGTATTTTCATTTTTCTTCTTTTCTTTCTTTTCTTTATGGATTTTACATGATATTTATCGTTTGATTTATTAAACAATACTATTTTTAATATTCAAATAAGTTCAATGTAAAGTAAAAAAAAAAAAATAAAATTGTTAACCTCTCAATAACTCAATATATATCGTGCCATGAAATTAAGTTTTATTTTATATTTGTTTTTTTTAAACAAAATTTATACCTACACTAGGTATTTATAATTACACAAGTTAACGCTAAAAGTTTCCTAGTGATTGTTAAAAGTCAATTACTTTTTTCCTTATTATTTATATTTTTTTTTTTTTTTTTTTTTTTTTTTTTTTTTAAATTGTGAAACTACAAGCCTAACAATTTTTTTACATAATACAAAAAATACTGTAACTTTTACATTATACATGTAATTTTGTTATGGAAAGAAAATAATTGGCTTATAGTGGGATCGACGATATTGGTCTTTTTTTTTCTGTCTCTTTTTTTTTTTTTTTTTTTTTTTTTTTTTTTTTTTGCTTTTTTAACGAACTTCGATCGGGTAAACAGAAACGTGTGTCTCACGCTAAATTCATTCTCAACAATGTGGAAAAGTATGTGCCGGTTTGTGACCCGTATAAAACTGCGCGCGTAATAACGGTATCCGTATGATACTGCGATCTTTATTGTATCGCAGTATCGTCGAGAGAAGCACTATTCTGGAATAATTTTCCAGTACTAGTATAACAGTACCAGTCAAATGTCGAAAAGATAATACTACAAGAAGACTAACGAGAACAATGAGAAATGTGTCCGCATATACTTTGGCGAAAGTAGACCTAGTTTTAGCTCATTAGAACCAGACGCATACAAATTACACTCGAAAATATGTATCCTCTTCTTTCGCATTGAGAGAACACGCAACAAAAAAGAACAAAAAAAAAAATGCCAAGAAAGTAGGTTCATAAATATATTTAATACCCAAGGGATTTTGAAAACCAATTACTCTTTTTTCTTTGAGATTTCTTAGGCTTATAGTTTGACTTAATTTGGAAAAAAAAGAAAAGTTAATCCAAATTGTCTGGAAAAAGGACTAATTGATTTTTCAAAACATTTAGGTATCATTCGTGTTCAGCCTACATTATTAGTTTGAAAAAATATATATATATTTGATCATTTCTTATTCATTAATTGTTCAACCCCGTTCCATTCCAATATGCGATTTTATCTCACTTAAGATTGAAAGAATTCAATAAAATCGAGCCACGGTCGAGCAATCGACGTGTCATAAATTATTACCTCTTTTATGCATGAATAAATTTTAGGACAGAAATGTCATCGTCAGGAATATTCTTGTGCACCTTAATTATTTATATATTTAAAAAAAAAAAGAAAAGAAAAGTTCTTTAACCCAATAACGAATCCATCTTAAAATTTAAAAGCATCAAGCAGCTTTTGACACACCGATTAAAACATGTTACATTTTCTTTCTTTCTCCATAATTTTGAAATGAAATTGATCTAAAAATATATATTTATCTTTATACCTTTAATAACGTAATTTATACATAATAATTAAAATATTTTAAAAAGAGAGTGTCTTTTAACTCTAAAATGATCCATCTTAAAATCTGAAAGCATTAGGCAATCTTTAGAATACTTTGAAACACTTTTTATTCCTTATACATAATTTACACAATATTGATCTAAAAAGATATGTATACACATTTATCTTTATAACTTTAGTAATGTAATTTATATGCGAACTCAATAATTTAACATATTTAGATAGAAAGAGTAAAGGATTCTCTTCTATTTTCTAATTCTAAAGAAAAATAATCTATTACGAAAACTTAAAATTATTATGCAACTTTTGAAATAGTTTTAAACGTTAATAAAAATATAAATTTATTATTATTATTATTATTATTATTATTATTATTATTATTATTATTATTATTATTTTACAATAATTTACATTCATCATATTGTATTGATCTAAGAATGTATAAATATTTATATTCTTATTTTTTAATAATGTATATATTGTATGTGAAAGGCTCTCTCATATACTTTCAATTTCAATACAACTTTACGTATGTGGGACGCAATAACCTTCGCCAATGAAGATCCTGTTTGACTTATATGATCTCTTACGTGTCCTCGTACATACTTTTTCATGAGAAGATAACAAAAGGAAGAAAAAAAAAGCAATTGTTTTGAATACATTTATTCAAAACAATTTATCTTGCGAACAGAATGAAAATGATCTGATGTTGGTCTCAAGAACGAAAAATAGAGTGAATGAAATAGATATGGCTTGTAAAGTAGATTTTATTTGAATCAAAAAATTAACAATGTTAAAATGGACAATGTCCTTTGAATTTTGTGAATATTCAATTAGAAATAATAAAAGAATAAATGTCATATTATAGTCATGTCAACCAGGATGATAACGACAGAAAAATCGAATCTGCTGTCAAATCATGTTCTCTATTAATTCAGTATTAATTCAATAATCCATATGTACTATATAGCTTCAAATAGATTAACCCAAGACTTCATTAAAAATACCTATGAACTTAATTTTAAAAATAGAATAATATACACAGCTGTATATGTATATATATACTACATTATACACTATATATATATATATATATACAAACGATATTTAACAGCAGCTGTTCCGCGAATATCGTTATTGAATTCGCTGTTACCTAGAAAATACATTATTTAATGGTTCTCTAATTAATTAATATCATCGGTTGCTCGGCCGTTTCCTCACCACAATATAATTTCCCAGAGAGTGAACGGTCTCATTAGTTGAGCGAAAGACCGAGATATTGAGAGAGAGAGAGAGAGAGAGAGAGAGAGAGAGAGAGAGAGAGAGAGAGAGAGAGAGAGAGAGAGAGAGAGAGAGAGAGAGAGAGAGAGAGAGACACAGAGAGAGAGAGAGAGAGAGACACACAGAGAGAGAGAGAGAGAGAGAGAGAGAGAGAGAGAGAGAGAGAGAGAGAGACACAGAGAGAGAGAGAGAGAGAGAGAGACACAGAGAGAGAGAGAGAGAGAGAGAGAGAGAGAGAGAGAGAGAGAGAGAGAGAGAGAGAGAGAGAGAGAGAGAGAGAGGAGATTTGCCTTTGCACGGATCAATTTCCTGCGTACCTACGAAACGCATCCCGCACACAGTATTCCCTTTCGCTTTTTAACAATTACCAAAGAGAGAGAGAGAGAAAGAGAGAGAGGGAGAGAGAGATACGTTGTTGCTAACCAAAACGGAGAGAATATATTTTCTGGCATGTGAAAGCAACGTAGTTTAAATTTAATTCATTTAAAATGTTATAAAGCTGTATTTCCTAAAAAAAGAAAAAAAAATGAAAGATTATAATAAATGAATGTGAATATCTCTTTGTTTCAGGAGAAGCGGAAGAAGATTGTAATAGAATCATGTAAAATTATTTGGAAATTCTATTTGGATTCTACCGACTGATTGATTGATTGGTTGATTGATTGGTAAATATTAATAATCTTCGGATAAGAAAATAAGGTCGAAAGAACGTTCGTTTTTTCGAAAGCGAGAAATAAGGAAAATTAGGTGATGCACTCGGGATTAAGAGGGCCAGGATTTGAGGGAAAATGTTTCGCTCCAAGATTCGCATTCACACGTGTCAAGTGATTCTTCTAACGTCTTTGGTATGGTTTCTGGTAGACGTGATGGTACTTATGTTCTATTCGGATTGTATCGGAGGATCCGGATGGGGTTGTTCCGATACGAGCAAGCAAACACCAACGGAAGAAAATCAGCCACATCCTCAAGCAATGAAAAGAGAAATTGTCGATCTACAATTATATAATAAAAGAAAGTATAAGCAATCGGAATTACATTTATGGAGACCGTCGAAAGTCGTTAGAGAAAATAAGGGTAGTCCAGGTGAAATGGGAGCAGCTGTACATATTGCTCCTGAACTCGAAACTAAACAACAAGAGTTATTTAAATTGAATCAATTTAATCTAATGGCTAGTGACATGATTTCTTTACATCGTTCTTTAAAAGACATTAGACTCGACGGTTGTAAAACGAAAAAGTACAACAAGTATCTTCCGGACACTAGTATCGTTATCGTCTTTCATAACGAGGCTTGGAGCACTTTGTTACGTACCGTTTGGTCCGTTATCAATAGATCACCTAGATCGTTGTTAAAAGAGATTATTCTCGTTGATGACGCTAGTGAACGAGGTCTGTGTTACGTTCTTCTCTCTTCTTCATCTTCTTCTTCTTCTTCTTCTTCTATTTTTTTTTCTTTCTTTCTTTCTTTTTTTTTTTTTTTTTTTTTTTTTTTCTAAGCGCTTCCTATTCCAATAATTTACAAGATGGTATAATAATTTTAACATATGACTCTTTCAATTGCAGATCATTTAAAAAAGGATTTAGAAGAATATGTTAAAACTTTACCCGTACCAACGTACGTCTATCGCACAGAGACAAGATCTGGTCTTATAAGAGCTAGACTATTAGGAGCGAAACATGTGAAAGGTCAAGTTATAACATTTTTGGATGCACATTGTGAATGTACGGAAGGATGGTTGGAACCATTGCTTTCAAGGATAGCAGACGATAGGACAATCGTTGTATGTCCGATCATCGATGTAATTAGCGATGATACGTTTGAATATATACCTGCTAGTGATATGACTTGGGGTGGTTTCAATTGGAAATTGAACTTTCGATGGTATAGCATTGTTGTTATTCTATTTTCTTATTGATTAAATTTCTCATTAAACGTAAATACGATTTTATATATATAAATTTTCTAATGGAGAAACTCCAATTAATAAGGTACAGAGTCGCACAAAGAGAAATGGATAGAAGAAATGGGGATAGAACAGCTCCTCTACGTACACCAACAATGGCAGGGGGTTTGTTTTCTATAGATAAAGACTATTTCTATGAACTTGGTGCGTATGACGAAGGAATGGACATATGGGGTGGTGAAAATCTTGAAATGAGTTTCCGAGTGAGTTTTTACGCATTACGAGTTAAAGTAATCGATAATCCATATAAAACTTTGTTTTTAACACATTATACCTTGTGCATTATAATGTATTTTTTTAATTTGTGAATTTTTTTTACTAACACACTGGCTGTTTACAAGATAAGAAAATTCAACATTTATCTTTCTGACTTAATAATTTCATAAATGATTTCATTCTATAGTTTCTTTTCTAACGCTTTCTTATTTATCTTGTTAGACACACTTGCTTATTATGATTAACAGTTTCATCCTCAGAAACAGAGAAATACCAATTGGTAATCATTATGGTCGTATGAAATTTTCACTTGTATTTCTATTTTTAAATCATAAGTACCTTATAGGTATGGCAATGTGGTGGAACATTAGAAATCAGTCCATGTTCACACGTGGGACATGTATTCCGCGACAAGAGCCCGTATACGTTTCCTGGTGGTGTCAGCAAGATAGTTCTACACAATGCGGCCAGGGTTGCCGAAGTCTGGATGGATGAGTGGAGAGATTTTTACTATGCCATGAACCCAGGTTAGATAAATAAATGCATAGTTCTATCTATTCCAATTATATTAATCAATATTCGATATGATTCGAATAATACAATTAAGTTTTACTAATGACAACTATTGCAAAATTTAATGCATGTATGCTGGAAATAATAAGCAGACAGTATGCTTCAAAACGCAAATTGTTTTATAACTCACTTTGACAGAAAAACCATGTCATATATCTAAAAAAGATATTAAACAAAGTCATCTGAAAATAAGATAATAATATGTATAACGGGTATCTGATATAAATTATTGTTAGCTACATTATTTTGTTAGTGATTATTGTTTTTCTTTCTTTATTTTTTTGTTTTCTTGTTTTTTTATTTTTTTTTTTTTTTTTTTTTTTTATTTTTTTTTTTTTTTTTTTTTTTTTTTTAGCGTTCTAATCTACTGTTGAAAAGAATATTTAAAGTATGATATTATTAAAACTTTGGAATGGTTTTTTACATCCTGCACATTTGTTGTGTGATGTTTTTTCATCTATATCATACATTTAAATAGCTGCATTACAAAGGTGTAAGAATTTTAGTCTATTTATTGCTTATAAACTTAAACATAGAAAGTAGATGAAGTGATTTCATAATTACTTGGTATAATGTTAAAAATGTTTCTTGTTTGACATGTTATGTGAACATAGGGGAAACTACAATAGTTACAAATAATTATGCTTTACATTTTTGATAATGTATTGATTTATTTGATATTCTAATATGTGTGAAAAGTAGCCTTAACCACTCATCCATCCAGCCAACTAACATAAAATATTGCTTGCCTTTGATATTTGTTTAGCTATATTATAGGAATCCACGGGAGAGAACGAGGTCGAGAATTTGATAACATGCATAATGTATCTTCTGATTTTCTTTTTATTATGTAATTTTATTGTATTTGCTAACACACTAACACAACTGAGTTGGTTAGATATGGATGTGTGGTGGGACATTGGAAATTGCAACATGCTCACACGTTGGACATGTATTCCGTAAGTCAACTCCGTATACCTTCCCTGGTGGTACCAGCAAGATAGTGAACCACAACAATGCGCGCCTCGCAGAGGTCTGGTTGGACCAATGGAAGTACTTCTATTACAACATTAATCCAGGTAGCACTAACACCAATGTCTCAAAAAAAAAAGAAAAAAAAAAGAAAGAAAGAAAAAGAAAGACAATTCTTGTACCCTATATATCTATACTTTATATATACTTTTAATTTCTTTATTTTGCATGTATCTTTTCTTTTGGGTGGTGGTTAGCATGTTTTTGCAACTAACACAATTACTTTATGGTTTTGGAATATTGCTTATTTCTGTCAGATACCCGTTTATGTCCACCTTAGGGCTCTATTTAATTGTACGATTTTTAATCAGTCTTTCAATTTCAGCAGCGAGAGGGTATTGCTTAAACATAATTGATATAGTTTTCTAAAAAAAAAAAAAAAAAAAAAAAAACTATAATAAAATTTTCTTTGTTACTAAAATCACGTTATCACTATCGCACATAATATTTTTACAGTGTACGAGTTTTCACACGAATAAATAAGAGCCATATCACGAAATTCTTTTCACTTTCAAATATCTAATTATTTGTTCGTGCCTTGATATGATGTTCATGGTATATACTATGGTCATTCTCATGGGCAAATATTAATATATCACACATTGCAATTTCTTTATTTAGCACATATCCTGAAATAATTTATTACTTTATTTTCTACTAATATATATTCACATTTTGATAGTAAAATATAATGCAGTTATCCTTTATCAAAAATAAAACTTTGCAGGTGCAAGAAATGTAGTCGTTGGAAATGTATCAGAACGAATAAAACTAAGAGAACGTCTTAAATGCAAAAGCTTCAGGTGGTATCTAGAAAATATTTATCCTGAATCACCAATGCCGCTAGATTATTATTATCTTGGTGATGTTAAAAATGTTGATACGCATACCTGTTTGGATACCATGGGTAGAAGAACAGGAGAAGTTGTTGGCATTAGCTATTGTCATGGACTAGGTGGTAATCAGGTATGTTTAGAATATTTTAATTATGAAAATAATTTATTTGTTACATTGTACTTATTTTTTGTATTTTTTTGTATTATTTTTATATTTGTTATATTTGCACTTATATTGACAAAATATCATAAAATGTAGGTGTTTGCTTATACGAAACGACAACAGATAATGTCGGATGATATGTGCCTTGATGCAGCCAGCCCACAAGGTCCAGTTAAAATTGTTCGTTGCCATGGGATGGGTGGTAATCAAGCATGGGTCTACAATGAAGAGGTATAAAAGATAAAATTCTTTATAAAATACATTTTCTTTAATATTAATAATTTATTGCAATTGTTTAACTATGAACATTGTAGACAAAGATGATTAGGCACACAAATACAGGCCATTGTCTGTCAAAACCACGTTCAGGAGATGCCTCGCAGCCTGTTCTTGCACAATGCGATCCACATAATGCTGGACAAAAATGGATTATGCAAAGTAAATTCAAATGGCAAGCTAGCTAATATACATTGAGCTTAAGTGCAGACCTCTATACAATATTTGTTAATATATTTAATAGATTATAATCAAGGAACTGACCATAAGATAATATCGCGGCAGAATGATAAGTATTATGACTGATAGAAACATAATCGCTGTATTATGTTTTGTCAATTCATTGAATTGATATATCAATGAAATAGACATTGGGAAAGAAAGTAGCTTCATGTGAATTTCATAATAAGAACAAACGGTTCGCGAGTTGAATAATTCATTTATTTCTTAAGATAAATATTAATTAGACTTTACTAAGACCATGGTGTTTAGTTACTGCCATTTCTTATGGTATGCCTTGATTAATGTATGAGAATAAAAGAAGTAAATTTCTGACTGTGTGAGAACGTGCAAGAGTGATACTAAAAAAGGAAAAAGAAAAAAAAAAGAATAAGAGAATGAACTCTTTAGTAAGCAGTAACAGAGAAAGCATATCAGAGACCACTGTTATAAATAAATACTTGTTAACGTAAAAAGAAAGAGAGACGTATTTGATAATTTGGGGTGCGTGCAATGGCGGACGTTTGAAAGATATTAATCTATATGTGTGAAGAAAAAAAAAATATATAAGGATATGCTAAATTTGTAAGTGTCACAACTATGATTGTGTGAGTGTTGTTAGTATGAAAGTGAAATTCATGGTGACACTACTGGTTATACTAATTATAGAGAACTTGTATCGTACAATCCATTATTAGTTAGGGAAGAGCACTGAATCTTTTTATACCGATACTTCTGACAGTTCCTTGCATTTCATTCGTAATTAAGTTGTTATGCTTTTGTTTCAATAAAAGCAAAGATTTCTACTAATCTTATTCACTAAAGCATAATGAGATTACATTTACGAGATTTTAGTTAAATATGAAAGATTACCGGCTGTTGTTTGTTACAATCTTGTTATATATCTTACATATTCATTTAAATTTATGATATATGTCTTCCGCATTTTATTAATAAAGACTTCATATTTTTATTGTAATAGAATAAATAACTATTCTTCATAGATATTACATTTTGCTTAAGCATAGTTTATTATTGCTAATATCGCAGTTGAACAAAAAAATGTTACACCATTGGATAGGAGTAAATAGATGTCTTTCAGATTCTGGCGCCCTTCCCTTTGATATGAATTTTTCAAAAGAAATTGCAATATTCGTTATAGTTGAGACAATTACTTTTTTCGTGTCCATGTAAAATAATCTCTGTACTTCCTATATCTACAGTTAGTAACACGTGAGTAATACAATTTTTCTTACATTCTCAACACACCCATTTACGATATTTAGAACATGTTGTGTACCATAGTAAAACTTTAATACTTAATGCAACATTAGTATTAAAGAGTAATACATTATTAACATTTATATATTTAATCTGAAAAAAAAAATATTATGGTGATGGTACAACAATAATTTATCATTTATAGCCTATATATGTACATGTAATTAGACTTTTAAAACAGCAATGTTTATTTTTGTACAGGATTTAGATTGATTTTATATATTTGAAAGAGAGAGTCTAACTAAAATTTACAGTTAAACTATTCAGATTCAGTAAAATATGTTTATTGATGTAAAAAGAAAACAAAAAGAAACAAAAAAGAAAACGAAGTGATAGTATTTCCATGTCATGTCATTCCATATATTGCAATCCTAAGTTTATTTTCTAATACACTTCTTAATGTTTGCACAGAAAATGAAGTACAAATACCTTTGTCTTAAATAACATAATTGCTTCATTGCGCATTCACCAGTACATTGATCAAATAGAAATCTTTGATCGTTTTGTTTTCTGTATTTTTTAATGTTTTTAACATATATATAAACATATATATATGTATATATACATATATAAAAAAAAAAAATATATATATATGTGTACATATATATATATTTACAAATGTTAAGCTTAATTATAGTAATGTCCATTACATAGAAGAATCCAGTGAAACAAACTTCCAATGTTTTAATATCTTAAAGAGTGTTATTTATTTACTCTTATTCCATCTTGACGAATTTTTGTTTATAATATGCTGAAAGTCAGAAGATGCAAATTTAAAGACAATAAAGCAATCTACACATGTTCCATTAAGTTATATATAATATATATATACATATATATATATATATATATATATATATATATATATATATATCGATATTATTCTATACTTGTGAACTGTAAATTATACTTAATTTACAACAAGCCATTTGAAGTAATCTAGTGTACTTATATTGTATGTAACGAGTTGCATGAAAAAAAAAGAAAAAAAAAAGAAAAAAAAAGAAAAAAAAAAAGCATTTACCAATGTTACATGGCCTCATATACTTTATAAAAGTATAAATCATTGGGCAACAGTAAAAAAGATTCTTAATAAGTGGATCAATATTCATTTCTAGATGTTTAAAAATTGCTAATTTTCTAATCGACATAAATCTATGAAATCTTTTCGAAATATATATATATACACATATATATATGTGTATATATGTATATACACACACAATTAGTTACATTTGTAAGAAACATACACCTTCAATTTAATTTTGATAAAAATCACAAAATTATAAATAATTCTATATAATAATGCCTTAAAAAAAAGGTATACGTATCCTCATGTGCTACTTACCTGTGAAATGAAACGTGTATAGAATATGACTAATTTGCCAGCTTTTAACAAATAAATTATTTGTTATATGCATCTGCACTGTACAGATTTTTTACATTCTAACTACAATGTATATTCTTTTATATAAATCAATTAATACTTATATTGTTAAAACATAGTTCATTGTATAATTTATACTCTGAATGTACATACATAAAAATAATTAGGTGTGTCGATACCCTGAATTTTTGAGTCCAATGTGCCTCAAAGATAGAATATTACGAGTATTTAGTGGTGTATACATAGAGTCGTACTTCTTCAGAACTATTTATCTCAAATTTGAAGTAAAGTCACATTTACCGAGGGCAATTAAATATAACTGGATTATAATGATGCTTTGAATAAACTAGACTTTACTTTTATTATCGAATGGCTCTGAACACTTTGTAACTTATTGTATACTTTGAACAGTTACTGTTATTTGTTATCTTTTTTAATGTTAAGACAAAGATACAACCTGTAACTTCAATGTATAGGGTGGTAATTCATAAGTCAATTATACTCGTAAAGTTAAATCTATGACAATATAAATTTATGAGTCAGGAGATGAAATAAAAAATAGATGTACAAAATGTACTTTAACGTATTTATTATATACATTTACTGCTCTTTAACTTCCCTTAATCTTCGAACTGCCGACCTAGTCGATGCTGCAGCAGTTGTAGAATATACCCACGCACCACCTGCGACTGTTCTTTTGCATCGTTTGCATGACCAGATTCCAACAACACTGCGTTTCATAGCATCCTATAGAAATAGAATTTAAACAGAAGTTGATTAATATTATAATGAAGTACAAACAATATATATGTGGATAATATATGTACTAACCTTGCCACAAAAGGTACAAGTGTATTTACTGTGCTGTGTTATTTCCATTTTTTTAACCATTTTCCTAAGAGAGGCTCCATATCGGGTACCATATTTCCCTGTGATTCCAACCTTCTTTGTACGTTTAGCCTAATAGCAGAAACCAAACCAATTTAATTAGACAATAATTAATATATGTGTAAAGAAATTTCTTTTTGACATGAAAACTTTTTAAACGCACTTATCACAATATAATTTGATACTGTTAATTATTATAACATTACACATTAATAATCATAAATTAATAAACTTTAATCTAAACGGAAGTTACATTTCTGTTAAATAAAAAAAAAAAAACAAATTTTGATTTTTGTACTATTTAGATAAAATATCACAACATTCAGAATAAAATGGGAGCAATTTCACTACATAACCTCACATCACAATTTTACTTAAAAATATAACATTCTAAGATAATACATGTACAAAAAATTGTAAAAACATTATAACATGATATACTTTTAATAATTTTTTAAATAGATTCAAACGATTTTATTAAAAATAACAGATTTGACATCTTACCATTTTGCACAATTATACGACACCTTCGTGAAAACCGGAAGAAGGAACACGAGCGCCAAAAACGATTCTAGTGAAATATACCGCGCACCGGAAGTGCGGAGGAAATTCAAAAAACAAAATTATTGTTTGATTATTTAGTAACAATGATATTTAACAAGTGTAATAATAATGATTGAAATAAAAAATATTTTAATTAGCATTATATAATTAATTCTCATGTCGATATATATATATATATATATATACACATATATATGAAATACATATAAATATATAAGATAAGATTTTATACATGAAGAGAAAATTATTTTTATAAAACAGAATTATTGACGAATAAGTTTATATTACATTTGGACTGTACATAAGTTCATGATAATATGATAATTGTATCGAAAAAGCAAAGAGATTCAAAATTATAAGTAAGATTATTTTATAGACACTCTGTATATACGACGTTCGGTGGCGGCACCTCCCGTTAGCTGACACATACAGGGTACGATTGCCTATGAGAACACCTCTAACACGAAGGGGAGACTAGCACGAATGACGTAGCTACAGACACAGTGTGAAAGTATTAGAAACAAGGAGCAGTAGCCTATTCTGTGTACGTTGATGAAACTGTCCTCAGTTACTCATTCTCATCGTCATCGCCGTTAGATTAGAAATACAATAAATTCGCGGTGAATCACGAATTATAACTGATTTGTTCGTTATAACGTTTTGTAGGGTCATAAAAGGATCGTTGCTGTGAGAGATAAAGCTGGAAGGCGTCGATCGATACGAAGGAGACACCGGCTAAGGATGGTCGTTAAAATCTACGTATCGGGTATCAGCGGGAACAAGGAAGTGAGTAAAAAGAGAAAAAAAAAGAAGAAGAAAAAGAAATAGCGTACATTTTCTTTCGATCGAACAATAACCTTAAAATTAATGAACTATAATATATTCGATAAAATAATGATCCATTCCAAGATCTATAACCGATTGTGATCGTACTACCGGCCCCAATCGATTCTTTATGACATTTCACGCTTAACGACCTATAGTGTATCATATTACAATCAAATTCATAGAATCGGACGGTGGTCACTGTCACTCGTACTATCATTACGCTATATTAGGTCCCTTGAAATCAGGAATATTTTCATACATATGTTATAACGTTTAATCTTTCAACGTGTCAATGATCGTACGAGTGATTTTTCTCGTACCGTTGGTGAAAGTTCTCTTATACTTTGTGTTGCTTCGATTTTCTACTGTTCTTTTCTTTCTTATTATACTTTTCATTTGGCATGATATACCTTGTATATAGTTTCACGCTTTTCTGATATTGAATTAGATATACACATATATGAATACATTACAGAGAAAGAGAGAGGGGATTCGATTTTTCTTATATACATTTCTAATCAATTATTTTTTTTTTTTTTTTTTTTTTTTTACAAGTGTTTTATTTATTGTTATCTGTGAACAATATTATGTATTAACTATAAAAATTGTAACTATAGTATGTTATTTTTAACTTAAGTATAATGGAAAATTTATTACCGTTATTAGAAATTATCTTAATATCATTGTTGGCTATAATGTTTAATAGGTGAAGAAAAGACAGCAGCGGGTTTTAATGATATTGGATAGTAAGAATGTAAATTATGAAACTATTGATATAACTGAACCAGGAAAAGAGTTAGATAAAGAGTTTATGCAAAGCAATAGCGTTGGAAGAGACAGTAAATATCCTTTACCACCTCAAATATTTAACGAAGATGAATATTGTGGGGTAAATTTTGATATTTTTTTATATTTTATGTTTGAAATAAAAATTACAATGATAATAATAATAATCAATGTAATTCTAGGATTATGAAGATTTTGATATGGCTAATGAATTAGATGAATTAGAAAAATTTCTTAAAATAACACCTCCAATTAGTCCAGAGGATATATCTCAAGATTCGAAAGCACAAAATAATGATATTCAAGAGAATGGGAATACTTCGAGTCGAGAGGTTTGTTATCGAATTAACTTTGTTATGTGAAAAGAAAAAAAAATATTAATTTGTTTTCATAAAAATTGGTTATAATACCTAACGTTATAAAAACTGAACGCTATATATTTTCCTTTATTAATATTGTTTTTCAGTTATATGTTAAAAGTTTGAATCTCAGAAATTTTATGACCTATACTTATTTTCTAGGCTTGTGTCCTTGATACTAAATTTATTTTCTCTACTCATAAATACTACGTATTTGTTGCAGCCATCCACAGACAAAGATGCAGCTACAGTAAAATCAGAAAGGTATGCACTACGAAATATTTGATTGCATAATTTTGTAAGTAGTAAATTATATTGAATTCGTTTATAAACTATATAAATAAATTAGTGATTTACTGATATAACAAATAATATAATAATTTTATATTATATTGATGTATAATAGCATATTAAGAATTCTATAACTAACTCTAAAAGGTTATTAAACTCTGAAAATATTTACCACTTTAGCGCAGAAAATAGAACGGATTTGCCAAAGGATAATGATCCATTGGATGGATCTAAACCGACAGAACTTGATGGTGGAACAAAAGCGAATGAAGAAGATGCAGAACAAATGGAAGAAACTGGCGATAAGAATGAAGAGAAGTCTGATGATCAAGAAAAAGAAGAATAGAGGTAAATATATTTGTTATGTTAGAATAGGCCAATTTGTGAACTTTGCTATTATTAACAAGTTCATTTTACAGAATTATGACTATCATCTTTTTAAGGCTGAGTGAGTATACTGCCACTACCACTTTTCTGAACAACAGGATATATATTAATTGAATTGAATAGAGTCATCCATACATGATACTTTTGTAGAGCCGCGTCGAATTGAAATCAAAAATCTATATCAATTATTATTTTTTTTTTCTTTTTTTTTTTTTTTTGGTAAATACTGAGATTTTATTTTATTTCATAATATTAGTCTATATCAATTTTTAAGTTGAATCGTTTACACTATATCTCTCCATTACTTCTCATTACAGTTTTCATATTGAAAGATATCAAGCATCTTTTGTTCATTATTATCATTATAATGAAAAGGTCAGATCGGAGTTAAACGTATTATAGTGTGCTGAGATTGTTAGAAGTTTAACAAAAAAATTTAGAAAAGAGTATATATAATATCTAAATATATATATATATATATATATATATATATATATATATATATATATATATTATCTACTAAATTATGCTCTTCTTTGAAGGAACAGTATTATTCAGCCTCTTTAAAATTTTTCTTTGCGCATGTTAGCTTACAAATTGTAAGTATTTTATCCTGAAGATTAATTAGAAATCATATTATTTCTTATCCTCATCTATTTGTCTTGTTATTCTTATATAGTAATGGTAACAGAGAATTCAAATTCTTTGTCTAGCAATTTTTTTGCTATGAAAGTGTATTATTCTTTAGGAATATACGTAACAATTTGCGTAGAAATACAGCAATATTTGAAAGACAAATTAATTATTGTATAAAAATAAATGAGAAATGAAGGATTAGTGATGCATTCAAAAATTAGAATACCAAGAGATTTATTAAATATAATCGATCAAATGTAATGTTCTCATGTAAATGTATATTTATTGTTTGAAAGGAAATATGGAACAAGTAACAAAGTTGCACTTCCTTTGTGACAAAGCATTTTACAAATATTTAATATACTTTAGTCATAAGAAAAAAGACAAGTGACCTAATCAACGTCAGTGTATATACTGATAGAGTATTGTTGATAAGGAACAAAACATTTTATTCGTTTCAAACATTAAATTTTTAGATTATTGAGGCCTTTTTGTTGCTTATTGAATAATAAAGGAATTTAAGAAATCAAAAGTTTAATCGTGCAATCGACACATTTCTAAATATATATTTTGACAATAATTAAGAAAACTATTATCGAAATATTTTCAATTTTTAATTACAGACGTTTTTATTTATTTATCTACAATTAATGATAATTTTATTATTGTTTATATATATATTTATATAGCTTTACATTTTATAGCTATTGCATCATTGAAAGGCCTAATATTACTATTTTTCTCTCCTATTATTTTATCAAGAAATTAAGCTTTATTATTACATTTACATGCTGGTTATGGTTAGAATATGTTATGCTTGAATTATTATAATCTACAAACTTCTATAATAAATATATCATATGAAATAGCTTATATATCTGAAATAGCTTTGACATTTATAATTTAAAAATGTCAAACATTAAAAAATTTAATTGCTTTTTAGCAGAACTAAATCTGATGCATTGTATATCAGATAAACAATTTATAGGTGCTGGATAATAATGCTATAAATAAATAAAATTTACTATAATAGATTTTGAATAAAATACATATATTTGCAATATCATAATTCTTCATACATAATATATACAAATCATAACAATTATTTATATTGCGTATGATTACTTTGAAAGATGTAATAAAAAAAAGAGTTAATTTATATATATACAATTTTGATTATCTACATATTACTGTTGAAACAAAACAAAAATAAATTCTTTTATAATATATACAATATCGAAGAAGTAAGAATATTAAATTTCCAATAATATTATGTGAAAAATATATAGGATACATGGATGAAAGAAATGTTTTTTAAAAAAGATGGTAAGTAATACATAAAAACTTAATTCTTACTTAATATATAAAAGTCCAAGTATATATATACCATGAAAATATTTATTGTTAAATTACAAAATATTTTTGATTTTTTCTATAAAATTTTTCACTCGATCAACAATAAATTTTTTATTTCTTATAAAATATGTCAAAATTTTATAAATGTACATTTACATAAGTATTAATGTAACTATTACTATTACAATTCTCTATTCTGCAATATAATGAGATATTGATATATAAATATATGAAAAATACTCTGTGCTATGAGAAATAAATATTTAACATTTTATAACAAACATTGCTAAACAAAACGTATATTATAAAATAATGAATTTATTTATTAAATAACTGATTCAAAAAAACTAAATTCTATATATTATAAACTATCCCTTAAACAATAATAATTATCAAGGCACATATGTATATACTCTACACAGCCAAAAATTAAAAATATATTTTACTTACTATAACTTTGTTTAATTTAGCAACTCTTTGAATTTATGTATAAGTCATCTCTTTGAAATTTGTAGGATATATGATAGAATTTTTCTATTAGATTTTCTTCAAAAATGTTCCCACTGTACACCTGCCTCCCCTATGTCGTAATAAATTGTTCCTGAAAACAACAATTTTAAATGTGCTTTGGATAATTACAATTTTTATATGAAGAAAAAAAAATGTTATATCTAAATCAAGTCTATTATTTATTTACAGAATTATTATTTAAATAATAATATTAAGTACTAATAGAGAAAATATATAATTTATATCAGTATCGTATAGATTTGGCTTATACATATATTAAGATGATTAATTTATTATCATTACTTGTCATTATCATTTATGACCGATCAGAATAATCATAATATTTATTTCATTGCAAACATTATTTCTTCCTACATGAAAAGAGCATATATGTTATTCCTTATAAAGATTTTTAAAAAATTATTAGAAATATACAAATACCATTTCATTTTTTATATAATCAAGAAAATATAAGGCTTTGTAAACAAATACTATCATGAATATAAAAGGATGTAATTTTTTTATATTCACTTTGCTTCTCAAATTGCAACATATATGTCAAAAGAAAACAAAAATAAATAAAGGGTAATTGGTTTATATAAGTTTTCATTTATTTTAGATTAATAGTACTATCTAACAAATATCCACTGTGTATATGTTTATTTGTATACTGATCTATAATGCTATGTAACATTGTTTCTCAATACGCAGGTATGCAAGTATGAAAAATGTTCCTGCCAGTTTGGATGTAAATAACAGCTGAAGTAGCAATTTTTATTTAAATTTATGGGTCATGATGGCAGACATCTCTACATACACATATATTATCATTGATTAATTTCTTTTTTTTTTTTTGCTACTTCTGCAATTGCTATTCATCGTCTGTCTGATGCAGCATTTTCACAGGCACATTGTAAGGCAAATAGTTTGCCGACAATATTATAAAATAATAACGATAAAAGTATAAAACAAAAAAAGAAAGAGAACATATACGTTTATCAATAATAATACATTTTATAAACCCCTTTGATTTTTTTGTATTTTCTTTGTAAAAATATATTCTAAACTTTTTGTTATCACGTTTCTTTAAATGTGGCTATCCGTGAAAATTGCTCTCTTTATGAAATTAATTATTATCAAGTATGAATAGCGAAAAACAGGAGAATTTTCTTATTTTTTGCTTTTTTTAAAAATAAAACGCATTTCAGCACGGTACAAAGGTGCATTCAACTACTGATAAATAATGATTATACATGAAAGTGTAATTAGATCTTATCTCCAAAAAAATAATAAAATTACTGAAATACGTTTATGCTAATATGTATAACAAAATTTCATTATTGTACACACCACTCTCAACAAATTCTTGTTGAACATATTTCTTTCACACACAGATTCGAACGTACATATTCTTATTATGAGTGTGTTGCAATTTTTGTTTCCTCCTTTACATAACAATATATATTATACTGAAATTCACATTAGAGTATGAATAAATATATATATATGCAACATTTTCACAAAAAGGATAATGTATCCACTAAAATGCAATATTAATCAATAAGGCAAGTATACATCTGTAAATCGCTAAATTGCAAAATTTCATAATATAACTTTGTGTTCATTTTCGATTAACTAATGATAACACAGAAGAAAGATATAACACAGATAATATATCGCATTTTTTAAGATTTACAAAATAATTTGTAGAATTATCTAATACCAAACTGATTTACAAGATATAAAATATGAAGAGTATGATCTTTATGAATACTTAAAATATGATTTTATCTATTGTTCTACTATAATAGAGAATTGCAATTTACAAATGTTTGCACTTGTAAAAGGAGTGCTTAAGTAATTATGCAGTCATATTAATGCATACCATATACAAATTATTATGTTTTCTGAGTGTTTAAGTCTCATCAGATGCACATCCAATTAAGAAATGTATACAAAAAATCTATGCTTGTTTATCATTCTATAGATAGAAAATTATATGAAGGAATAGGATTTGAGAGAAAACTTTGTATTGTTTAAACCTATGGTAAAAACGCTTAGAGAATTTCTTAATAATTAATTAAAATTATCATGGATAAACCGCTATTAAGAAATATATTTTATAATCCCTCAAATTTAATTTAATTAAAAGTAGTTTTGATATTGAGATAATAATTTTATGTTCATATTATGCTTATTAAGAACACTATAAAACTTGAAACTTGAAAAATAAAAAGAATCTTATAATGGAAAGGGATCTCATCAAATGTTCTTTGTTTTAAAAAAAAATTATGCATCTTTCCGCTTCATGAAATTATAGTGTTCAAAGTTCTAATGTATCAAATATATGATTGTAGTGAATAATATTTGCAAAAGAAATTACATGATTCTCTTTATGAATATGATATTCGTAAATATCAAAATAGTATTATGATCGGATAATATGGTATCATTTAATCTATAATGTGATAATCTTTGTTTTATGAATTAATTGTATTATGTAAAAGACTACGATTACTATACAACCACTTATTGATCATCCATTGAAATAGTAAGCTTTAGTTACTATTTTGAAAAAGTATATGTTAATGCAATATATACTTTCAATGAGACATATCTGTAACAAGAGCTTAAGTTTATCTCAAACAAAGTTATATCATATAAATAGTAGTTGCCTCAGTATATAAAATTTAAGTATGTACATTATACTTTATCTTGGGGAAAAAAAAAAAAAAAAAAAAAAAAAAAATAAAATAAAATAAAATTTGAGGTTACCAAGCAGAACATTCCTGCCAAAAGTTTCATATGTTTCTAAAGAAAATAAGATGCACTACTTAGTCTTACAGTAAATAGAAAAAATTAAGTTGTAGAAGGTTGACACATGCTACTGGTAATCATTAAAACGATTATAATAATAATATAAATTATACATGCTAAGAACATATTACTGACTTAACTGACTGTCAAGAAAAGTATATATCTTTGTTTACTATAACCTGCTTTGACTTGAATTGAATTAATATACTATTGCGATGTATTACATTGTTATTAAATTTAAGATGATTCGTTAAGGGGAACAATAAGTTAAAGCACTAAATGCTTTTAATCATCATAAGAATAATAACTTCATCAGGTACTCAGTATAATAAAACTGACTGAGAATAAACTTATGCTATAGCAATATCTTGTATCAGATATAGACACAATATATATATAGTATAGTTTTTCTGTGCACCATGTAACCTTCGATAACTAAATTTTCTTTTAGTTTTGTATTATATATTTTCTAGTAATATAGTATGCTCTGGATTATATGAAATATAATTAATCCGTACCAAAGTATTTTTGTCCAAAGTGATTTGGTGCAATACAATGAATCTCTGAGGTCAGGATCTTCATCTGTAATACAAAAACCTAACTTAACTTTAAAAGCTAAAGATAAGAAAATACATCTTATTATTTTTGCAAAAGTTAGATGCGAATACTTTTATGCATGTACTTTTATATCATCATTAATATGATATATCATTATTATTTATAATAACATATCATGTGTTTGATCAAAAGAATTTTCTCTCATGTTATATTTTGTTATTTTTAAATATCAAAGAGCATTTAATGAAATTTTTCTAATTGGCTTACCTTAGGAAAGACAGTGACCAGAGTTTTGGCTGCAACTGGAGTACAAAATAAATTTGACAAAATGATATTTTCTTCTAATACATTATGTTCCTTTAAGACAGCTATGGCCTTTATCACAGTATTTCCTGTACCTGAATATATACGCGATCATAATAATAATCAAATTCATTTCTTCCTAATCTACAAATTATTTACGTGCTGTATTAAACCCGTACGCTTACCCATTATAGGGTACATTAATAAGACTTTCCTTTCTGCTATGTCGTCTGGGAATTTGGCATAAACAACCCTAGCTTCGTGTGTATCTGCATCACTTTCTACAAGTATTTTACCAATTCTTATACTACGACAACAGTCTCTTAAGCCCTAAAAACATTAAAGAACTTTCTCATATATATGTATAAACATTAACAATTTATATTATATACATACTTGTTCCATTGCTTCTCCGCTTCTTATAATAGAAACACCGCAATTACCTTTTTGATATTTTAAACCATTGTATTGTGATCCGGTTGGCGTTATGACCACATGTTTGGAAAAAGGCAATTGATTTAAACTTTCTTCTATAACAAGCCTAATCTAAAATTATAATTTTAATAGTAACTTAAACTTATTTTAATAGCAACTTAATTAAATTTTAATAATACGATGTCAAAGAAATTTTAATGATAAAAGTTATTTGAAATTTTTTATAAATCAACGAAACAAATAACGATGATAGAATAATAATTATTTTAGTTGAAATAATGAAACATATGTCTTACCAAACGATCGGCATAAAACTTAAAGTCGCTCCTCGTGGTATTCCTATAAGTAAAATATAATATGTCATTAATTAATATTAATCGTAATTATATCTTCTAATATGAATTAAAATATTGAACAGCTTTTTTAGTTGATCTCATTGATGATTATTACAGTATAATAAATTAATGTAAATATAATAAAGATACTTACTTGTCGCGTAAAATTGTTTGTAATTCTTTAACTTGATTGTTACAAGGTAATAATTTCAAATTCGGTCCGTAATCTTCGATAATGTCATTATTTTCATTTATTAATAATTTTTTGACAACTGGTATGGTATCTGCAGTGCCCATGTCTCTTCAAAGCACACACGTTCAGTTAATTTTATAATCGGTAACAGCCGTTAAAAGATTGAACGCATTAAAAATGAAAAAAAACGAAAGTGATCATGAGTCATAAGTAAACGGGAATGACTACTAGTTCCATAATATCGTTCGAAATCTACCTTTTCGACGTAGCCATTATAAAATATCATTTATTATTATTTCTTTTGTATTTTTACTTTCATTTCGAACAAATTCATTCACTTTTATTGATATATTTACAATTTAATTTCTTATATGATATATAAATATATCAATTCAATTGATATACATTTTTTTTCGATATTTTTTATCATAATTTGAAAAGACTCATTTTTCCCGCTTTCCACGATTTTCTGATATTTCGTTGTTACAGATGGAGCCACGAGTTTTTCATCTTCTTAGAACGTCTTACTAGATAAACAAATTAGTTTGTGGTATAGTAAACGAAGGTTAGCAATTGCTTTAACGATTCGCTGACCGGATAAATGGTGTGAATTCTGTCAATTAATACGATATTAGTAAAGATATTGTTTTAAATTTACATATATGACACTAAAAAATGTCTTACCAGCATACATCAAAAACATCACCAAGATCGTCAAGATTTGGAAGAGGAAGTAAATTTATTAGAATTTGTAATCTTCTTAGAAATGATAAATACTTACGTGAAACAACAAACATTTGATTTAATCAATATTTTATTTTTGTGTAACACGAGAATTTTTATTAAATAATTTTATTGATTCGATATAAATAATATAAATTTTTTTTATCTTGTAATCATAGTTAATATTTAAGAAATATTAATATTATTGTTATTCAAAGTAGTATTCATTTAATAGATGAACAAAGTCAACCAAATTCATCTATGTCATCTTCACAAAATCATGGACAATCGGGCGGTAGAGGCAATGGTCATCCGTCGTGGTTAAGAGGAAAAGAAATAGGTTTGTACTATAGGGATCTTCAAAAAAACAGGGCTAAAAAAAGGGAATTACGTATTATTAAATTAAAGCAAAAAGTAGAACAAACAATGAAACTAGCAGTTGAAAATTCCAAAGGACTATACAATAAATTATGCAATGATGAAGAAAAACAGAATAGTACAAGCAATGATTTAGAAAATAAATATACTCACATTCATGACTCGCAGTTTAAAAGAAAGTTTTTAGAAATCTTATCTGGCAATATACAACATAATATTGCCAAAGCTATGTCAGCTAAATCCAAACTTGAAAGAGATCCTATTTCTGACAAAAGTCTATTAGATGAATTTAATGGAAAATTGTATAGCAGTGATTATAAAGCTATGCAAGCTTTTAGGAAGAAATTACCTGCTTATGAAAAGAAAGCAGACATTTTAGATTTAATAAAAAAAAATCAAGTTGTGGTGATCAGTGGTGAAACTGGTAAGTAATTTGTCTTCTAATACTTTGATATATTAAAAAGGATTGCTTTAATCTTTATTATGATTTAATTTATTATTTTAGGCTGTGGTAAGACAACGCAAGTTGCACAATTTATTTTAGATAGCGAATTAGAAGAGAGAAATGGTAGTATTACTAGAATCATTTGTACACAACCAAGAAGGATATCAGCAATATCTGTTGCTGAAAGAGTAGCTGCTGAAAGAGCAGAGAGACTTGGCAAATCTGTCGGATTTCAAATAAGATTAGAAAAGTATGTAAATTATATATTTCTGATCAATTTTTTAATTATTAATCCAAAAATGTATATTATTTTATAAAAGGATACCACCTAGAGAACGTGGAAGTATATTATTTTGCACCACCGGCATGCTCTTGCAATTTATGCAATCGGATCCAGCGCTGAAAGGATTTTCGCATATAATATTGGACGAAATTCACGAACGTAGTACAGAAAGTGATTTTATTATTACTTTATTGAAACAAATAATTCCTGTGGTATGTAATTATTATCGACATTATTACACTTATGTATTTATTTCTTAAAAATATAATATATAAATGGATTTGTTATTATATAGAGACCAGATTTGAAAGTGGTTTTAATGAGTGCTACGCTTAATTCTGAAAGATTTTCCGATTATTATAATGATTGTCCAATAATTCACATACCAGGATTCACATATCCAGTAGAAGAATTTTATTTAGAAGATGTATTATTATTAACAGGGTGAGTATTGTTCATTCATACGATAAACAACTATATAATATATATACTTACTATTTTTTTTTCTGTATTTGTTTTTGTTTTTTTACAGATTTCGTTTAATTGAAAGTACTTTTAAAGAAAAAGAACTTGGTTATAGAAAATATCAAAAAAAATATAAACAACAGCATGAAAAAAATTGTCATTTTCTAAATATTATAAATCCATATATAAAGAAACTTGTCATAGAAGTAAGCAATGTATAATATATTGAAAATGAATATATGTATTTATACACATTCCAGTTTAATATGATCATAAGAATTAAACGATGTTTCGTCTTTTAGAAAAAATATCCTAAGTTTGTTATAGACCAATTATGCCATCCAGATAGTGAAAATTTATCTTTAGAACTTATAGAAGATTTGATCAATCATATATGTACGACGAAGGAACCTGGAGCTATTTTAGTATTTTTACCTGGAATGATGGATATCGTTAAGTTAAATAGAATTATGTTGAACTCTGGACGATATCCAAATAGTAAGTTATTTGCATTATGAAATGCATAATTACAATAAAAAAAAAGAAAACAAAATATGTTACATAAATATTTTTTTTTTCTGTTATTTCTTTCTTTCTTTCTTTTTTTTTTTTTTTTTTTTTTATATAGGTAGATTTATTATTTATCCACTTCATTCTCGTATGCCAACGATCGATCAGAGGCTTATATTTAAGGAACCACCTACTGGCATACGTAAAATAATAATTGCAACATCCATCGCTGAAACATCTATAACAATAGAAGATGTAGTCTACGTAATAGACTGCGGAAAAACAAAGCTTTCAAGATTCGATGTGAATAAAAATATGGAAACGTTAGAGCCCGAATGGGTATCTATGGCTAATGCTAAACAAAGACGAGGTCGTGCAGGAAGGTAAGCAATTCTTTCTTAACCCTTTGAGTGCTGAATACTCGTGGCCAATGGAGTCCGTACGGATGGCGCGCGGCTGGCGCTGGCGATCGCCGGGGACTGAAAACTTTTTCAGAATGTTGGACAATAGAAACAATTGTTGACCATAGAACACTGATCATTTTTGCCAGGCGCATATTTGCGTCCATAGTTCGTACTGATAGAATCTGGCGAGCGCGTAATTGCGTCCATAGTCTATATCGATAGCTTTCGCTGGACGCATATGTGCGCCCATAGCACTCAAAGGGTTAATAATATATTTTATCGTCAGGAATAACAAGTTTTTCTTTTCTATTTTGTTGTCCTTAGAGTGAAAAAAGGATATTGTTATCATCTCTACAGTAAAGCAAGAGAAATGACGTTCGATGATTATCCATTACCCGAAATGTTACGTACGCGATTAGAAGAAGTGATATTACAGATAAAAATTTTACAATTAGGGGAAGCAAAGCAATTCCTTGCCAGTGTTATGGATCCACCTAATTTAAAAGCTATTGATTTATCGCTTGATTTATTGAGAACATTAAATGCTTTAGACAATGATGAACATTTGACACCTCTGGGTTATCATTTGGCGCAACTTCCTCTTGATCCTAGGACTGGTAATTTGTTTCTTCTTTTTTTATTTATTTATTTATTTATTTTTTTTTTTTTTTCTTATACGATTGTAAATTATTTTAAATTATTGTAATATCAATTGCGTTCTTTTAATTTACAGGTAAAATGATTATATGGGCCGCATTATTTTCTTGCATAGATCCAGTATTTGCTATAGCAGCCAGTCTCACATTTAAAGATGCTTTTTATTGTCCTTTGGGAAAAGAAGAACAAGCAATGAAAAAAAAATTAGAACTCAGTTTGTGGGAATTTAGCGATCATATTGCCCTCGCGGAAGCTCTTAGGAGATTTGAAATCAATTATAATTTTGGTTTCTGTCATGAATATTTTTTGTCCTTTAATACTTTGAAGCTTCTTTCCGAAATGAAACGTCAGTTTGCTCAACACTTGTACGAAATGAAATTTTTAGATAATGATAATCCAATCGATGAGGATGCTAATAGAAATTCTAATAATATAGCGTTGATAAAAGCTATTGTTTGTGCAGGATTATATCCAAACATTGCCACTATAAAGTATGGGTATGTTAATTATTATATAGATTTACACTTTCATATGTAATTTTAATTATTTAAATTTTTATTCTTTAGATCTGATTCGAAGCATGGTGTAATAGCTTGGACACCTGAAGATGGTTCCGTTAAATTACATCCATCCAGTGTTAATAATAAAATGAAAGATTTTCCAAGTCCTTTCTTAACGTATTTTACAAAACAACGATCTACTGCTATTTATTTGCACGACACATCCTGCGTCACAGCTCCAATATTATTATTCGCAGGATCAAATAGTTCTATTAGTAAGACATACAATTGTTACTTTGCACGCATAATATTCTCTTTAAAATTCCTCGATTTTATATTAATAGAATATTTATTTTAGGAAGAGAAAATGGAAAGTACATAATCACATTAAATACTTCGCAAAATTTCATTTGCGAACCTAGAACTGCCAAAGTTATACAGGATCTTCGACAAGCAATAAATAATTTATTAGAATATAAAATATCGCATCCTGGTACAGTAAATTGGGATACTCAAGAGGGACAAATACTTAAGTAATTGAACATTTTTTAAATTTTAGAAGACAAATTATTCAATATATTCTTATTCGATATAATAATTAATTTATTTATTCTTACTATAATTTACATATTTTTATAGTGCTCTTATTGAATTTGTATCGCAAACAGATGAAGAAATGGGATTTGGTAAATTGACATGGTAAGACGAATACGGTCAATGTATAAATATCTGAATTGAAATCTTTATTCAAAGGGACAAATTATACATCATGTATTACTGTATGTATTATGTATTTAGTATAAGTCATCTATTATTGTAAAATGTATACTTCA